GGCTGCATAAACGATGGGAAAAATTAGACAAATTGATCGTTATCAGGACCCTATTGATTGTTCGGGTTGTTTGTGGGCTTCGAACGTGGCTCTGAAAAAGGAACTAAAGGTGTTGAGTGACAAAAAGTACCGTTGAGCGGGAAGGTTCATGACAGGGCCCAAGGACGAATTCGGCTCCCATCAACGAGGTAAGTAAAACAAAGCGATAGAATTTGGCGGTTCTTATACTTTTACGGGGCGTTAGCTTTAGTCATGGTAGGTCAACAAATATCGAGTATTCTGTAACCAGAATCAAAAATTCGTGTTAATTGAAAGATAAATAGGAACCTTTTTCTCTCTTAAATTCACACCAAGATAGCACGGCGCGTAATTGTTCGCTTTTTGCTAGGTGTTGGATCATCCCCCGATACCTTGCCATACGAGGAGTGTAATAGCACAAACTATTGTGCGATAACTCACTTATTATGTTGCGTTTTACAGGGGACTGGGTTCCCAATACCCCTTGAACTCTGTATTGTAACATGTGACTGGCGCTTAAGAAATCCCATTGTCGCGACATTGCACCCTGCCCGAGATAATGGTGCCTACGCCTTTACTAGGATCTTTAATGCCGTGCTTAATAACAAAAAATGCTCCAAACCTCACGATCACCATCTCTAAGTCTGTTATTTTTTGACATTACTGTGATCCTTTGATCCACAGTTTTTCTCGCATTTAATCTGTAAGAACGCTCATTTTTTCGGCGAACTCTTGACTACGGACGGAATCTTGCGACCAAAGTATTGGAACTTTCTTTTACCCTGGATCCAGTTGATCAGAGAATGTCTACTCCGTCATATTGATCTATAAAATCTACGCCAGTTCTATCCCTCCCACAAATAGCTCCCTCTGTTGCATATGGAATAGGCGGGTCAGGAGGGGGCTTAATGAGACCAATCGACAGGGCAGCGATGGAGCATTAGACACATTAATTTCTTGCATCTACCTCCTGTAAAACAATCTCGTATCAGTTCGTCACCTTCTCAGTATTTTCACTTACCCCCATGACGATGTCGATTATGTGACGTTAGAATACATTCCTCTAAGAGTATGGAACATCACATCGTAATATAAGGTTAAGTGATCTATGCCACAGGGAATGCATCTCCGTCCAAATCGCCATGCTATTGAGATGCCCGGCGGCCCCCAAAAATAAACTAGTATTCCGTTCAACAGTGGGTTCAGTAAGTGGTCGTTAAGTGTGCTCTCCCGCATCCCTGGCTGGAAACAATAAGCATTTGCTATTCGACTTACATATTCTAGCCCAGAAATAGATTGACGTATAACATAAATAGAGCCTGAAAGATTTCGCTCTGATCAGAATAGGCATTGGAAAGCCAATAAATGTCTCGTCCTGCCTAATGACGGGCCAAATATTGGCCAAGATATGGCGTTGTGGCGGCGATCACCATTGACTTTAATAGGAGGGGTATGATAATGAAGGCCCAATGACAAATTCTTATCGGATGTTTTTGCTGCAGTACAGTGAGGCATTGTTCGCGGAGGTCTCTGCTGGCTTAAGGTCGAGCAAAAATAAGCATAGATAAGAGAAGTAGAACACGCCTACAAATAGTTCAAAACTCGTTTTGATAATGAATACTTCTATCTGAGAAGGGGTTGTTTCTAGAAAAACCTACGCACTTGAACCACTCATCACAATTTCCGTTTCCAATGGCTCCAAAGCGCATTATACTGCGCCGTACTTCCGCGGAAATTAGAAGTTTTAAAACGATCCGAAGTCTGAAGTGTTTCTGGCAGACGTCATAAATGTCACAGGTCGGTGAAGGCAAGCCTTATGCATGAACCAAAATTTGATGGAACATTTTTGATAAATTCTCAGAGTGCATAAGTGCTCTTAGGATCTGTTAGCGACACACTCAAACCACGCAAGACGCTTGTTGCCTGCTGCGGCTTCGTAAAGTTCAGGGATTCTTACAGCCGAATCACTTACCCAATTGGGAATTTTTACGATGCGTACTACATACACAACAGACATGAACAAAGAATGCACTTGAGGAGGTAACATGTGGTTGTTTAGGCCCGCAAAACTTCATAGAAGGTGTTTGCCTGAACTTGGGGATTGGATAACTCTGTAGCAATCATTGGCAACAAAAGGTCAAATTTAGTTTAGATAATCTTAAGGTATCCTTCGGATGCTTACCTGATTGGGTGGAGACGAAACATGAGCGGCAAATGTTTGTTCCCGTTTTTCAAGGGATTTGATAATTATTGCGTTCTTAAAACTTGGCAATCACTGTTGATCTTACCGACAAAATTTTCGAGCTTTAAATTTTTCGATGTAGATACCGCCTAGGGGATTTGTTTTAATCACTATTTCCGGGGTCACCTGGTCAGTTCGAAAATTTGTGACTCATATCTCTGTAAATATGATATGCGTCAGCATCATTATTGCTCGAAAGTATGCGCACAGGTGTCCTACGTTCAAGTGCACTTTTACTGTTCATCGATATGCTTGTATGTTTGTTGCGTTTGCATTTCCCCTTATAAACTGGCTACACACTGGGCTCTGTATTCCTGTATTTCCTCAAACTTTACAAAGTGTGAGCACATTTGAGAGGCCGAAGGACCTTTTTTGTCTTTGTGCAACGATCACAAAGTGCATTACATTGCTAACTGGATCATATATGATGCTACCTGGGAAATAAGCCTTCTGTGACTCTCAAGTCGATGACTATGACGATTTACGCTAACGAATAGGAAATTCCTGCGTTTCAGCCTAAGGCTGCGTTGGCAAGTTTCCACTAACTACAAGCACTTTCAGCATCGGGCAACTTAAAATCTCCTGGCAACTTCGTGTATTGCATAAGCATACTGCCAAACCAGCAAGACCGCCTCAGGAAAATTCAGCTGGCGTTCACGCGCAGGTACCACAGAGCGCCTACGGTAACTTCCACGAAGATTACCCGCGCAAATTTGTCATAGTTCAAATAAGGAAAATATAGCCTTCGAATAAACAAAAATACAATAGCATTTAACAAAATTTAAATAAGATACTTTCATCTCACACGAAAATGTGGCTTTAGGAATGTAATGTAGGCAATTTCGTCAAACTTATTACAACATCTCTGGCGCTGACAGCATTAAAAGGGATCGGAGCAAAGAGATCGTTCTTCAAGCCATTCCTTGCAGTTGGCTTTTTGGTATGACGTCACTGTTAATTTGCATCCCCAGACGCAATTCATCTGGAAAAAAGGTAGGGCAAATAGACCAATATCGCGCGGAAGAGTGGTAAGGGCTCGCTTTGCGAAATTCAAGACAAGTAAGGGGATCACATTAAGTGTATACTAAAAATGACAACACAGCGGTTCTTAACTGACACAGGTTAACCCAAAATGCATGCTATTCACAGTGATTTTATTTTCCGAGACCCCCACTGCCGCCACTTATTTATTTCCTTCAGCACCGGAACCGATAGCTAGGATCCATTTCCTGCCTTTCACCCACTGATACCGCAGTCTTGCAGCGTTGCTGTAAAGATCGATTG